ACCACTTTCCTAAGCCCTCTTATCATAATAAGTCAGTGCTTTTTTAAATGTTTTCCTGGTAAATAATATCATCTGTTAATGACAACAATTTTGTTCATATTTTCCTATCCTTTTCCCTTTCATCTTTTTTTCTTTTCTTATTTTGCTGGCTAGGACTTCCAGTGAAAATGTTGAATAGGAGTGGTAATAGGTGGCAATTTTCTCATTTCTGATTTTTATAGGGAATGCTTTCAGTATTTCTACTTGCAGAATATTTGCCAGAGTTTTTTGTATACAGACCATACTGGGTTAAGAAAGTTCCTTCTCTTCCTAGTTTGCCAAGTGTATTGAATTTCAACAAATGTGTGTCCACATCTGTTGAGGTGATAATGTGCTATTTTTCTTCCCTTTAACCTTTTAGAATGATAAATGGAATTTATAGATTTTTCTATTAAACCATGGTTACATTCCTGGGATAAACTCAACTTGGTCATAGTGTATCATCTGTTTTATATATACTGCTAGATTTAGCTTGTTGAAGTTTTATTCTTTTTTTCCTCTATGTGAATGTGGTTGGCCTGTCAGTTTCCTTTCTTATATAACCCTTATCTGGTTTTGTTATCAAAGTTTTGTCTAACACAATTATTTAGGGGGAAGAATTACAAGAATCACTTCTTCTTGGGCATACAGTTCAACTATACTGGAATCGTCTGAATGAGTCCTGGCCACTGGAATTCCAAGTCACTTATGCTACTTCCAGGACTGGCTCAAAAATCTCTCATGCACGATCTTCCTCTTTTTTCCGTATCCATGCTGACAGAGGTTACACGCTGAATGTGATGGTGACACAAAATAGAGGGATCCTGAGTCTCTGAATGACTAAATGGAATAGAACACTTTCTATGCCCTGGACAAAGCACATTAGATTATAAAATGCATAAGCAATAAATTTTTAGTGTGTCACTAATAAAGAACTTGGTAAACCAGTTGAACCTCTGCATATGAGAATAACACAGACTGTAAGATCATGGCCCAGTTCACACGAATTTAAAATAATAAAATGTATATCCAAGAAACTCTCTATCCAACTTCAGAACTGGAACACTGCCAGTCCCTTTACGGTGTTTATCTGGGTGCCTGGTTCTCCTCTAGCCTTTCTCCCAGTCATCCTTACCTCCTCTCATCCCACTGGTTAGCGCTAACCTGAATTTTTTGTTTATCATTATGTTGCCTTTTTGTTTGTTTGGTTTTGGTTTTCTCTTACACTAAAAGACCTTTTAAATGTTTTTTAGAACAGTTTTAGCTTTACAGGAAAACTGATAACGAGGTACAGAGTTTTGTTGTAGACACAGGTTAAAAAACAAAAAAAAGTACAGAGTTTGCACAAACCTCTCCCGGACTGCACAAACACAAGCACAGTTCCCCCCAATTATTTGCATCTTGCATTAGTGTGGTGCATCTGTTACAACTGATGAACCAATATTGATATATTATTACTAACTAAAGTTCACAGTTTATATTAGGGTTCACTCTCTGTTCAGTAATTTTCAAAATGTCATTTCCTTTTTTTTTTTTTTTTTGAAACAGAGTCTTGCTCTTGTTGCCCAGGCTGGAGTGCAATGGCATGATCTCAGCTCACTGTCATCTCTGCCTCTCAAGCTCAAGCTATTCTCCTGCCTCAGCCTCCCGAGTAGATGGGATTACAGGCACATGCCACCATGCCCAGCTAATTTTTTTATTTTTAGTGGAGATGGGGTTTCATCATGTTGGCCAGGCTGGTCCCAAACTCCTAACATCAGGTGACCTGCCTGTCTCGGCCTCCAAAAGTGGTGGGATTACAGGAGTGAGCCATCATGCCCAGCCTAAAATGTCATTATTTCTTCCTTGACATATGAATTGTTTAGAAGCATGTTTTAAATTTTGTAAATGTATGGGGACTTTTAAATTTTATTTTTGTTATCAATTTATAACCTAAACACTTTATAGTCAGAGAAGATTAGCTATATCATGTTGATTCTTTGAATTTTATAGGGACTTACTTTTGGTCTAATATGTAATCATGTTGGTAAACATCCCATGATTGCTTGAGAAAGAATATGCATTCCCTGATTGTTAGTTTCAGAGTTCTATATTAGTCTGTGATATCAAACTCACTACTATTTTTCAAATCTCTTCGCCTTTTTGGTCTCCTTGATGTGGTGGCACGCGCCTGTAATCCCATCTACTCAGGAGGTTGAGGCAGGAGAACTGCTTGAGCTTGAGAGGCAGAGATGGCAGTGAGCTGAGATCACGGCATTACACTCCAGCCTGGGAAACAAGAGCAAGACTCCGTCTCAGAAAGTGTAAACCCTTTATAACTTTTTTTTTTTTTTTTTTTTGAGACGGAGTTTCACTCTGTCGCCCAGGCTGGAGTGCAGTGCCCCGATCTCCACTCACTGCAAGCTCCGCCACCTCCCGGGTTCATGCCATTCCCCTGCCTCAGCCTCCCTAGAAGCTGGGACTATAGGCACCCACCACCACGCCTGGCTAATTTTTTTGTATTTTTAGTAGAGACGGGGTTTCACCATGTTTGCCAGGATGGTCTCGATCTCCTGACCTCGTGATCCGCCCGCCTCGGCCTCCCAAAGTGCTGGAATTACAGGCGTAAGCCACCGCGCCCGGCGCCCTTTATCATTCTTTAGTGTCTGTTTTAGTCTGTTCTCACATTGCTACAAAGAATTACCTGAGACTGGGTAAAGAAAAGAGGCTTAATTGGCTCACGGTTCCACAGGTTGTACAGGAAGCATGGCTGGGGAGGCCTGAGGAAGCTTGAAATCATGGCAGAAGGCAAAAAGGAAGGAGGCATGTCCACATGGTTGGAGCAGGAGGAAGAGAGCGAAGAGGGAGTGCTACACACTTTTAAACAACCAGATCTCGTTAAGAACTCACTATCATGAGAACAGCAAGGAGGAAGTCTGCCCCCATGATCCAATCACCTCTCACCAGGCCCCTCTTCCAATATTAGGGATTAAAATTCAACATGAGATTTGAGTGGGGACACAAATCCAAACCATATCAGTGTCCACGTCTATTCCTAATCATGCTTTTAATTTTGCACTCAGCATATGAATTTCTGAGAGTTACTGTAACAGTGCCACCAATTGGGTAGCTTAAAACAAATGCATTCTCTCACAGTTCTTGAGGCTAGATGTCTAAAATAAAGGTGTGGGCTGGACCATGCTCCCTCTGAAGTCTTGAAAGAAGAATCCTTCCTGCCTCTTCTAGCCTCTGGTAGTTGCTAGCAACCCCTGCATTCCTTTACTTGTTGACTCATCACTCCAACCTCTGCCTCTGTCTTCATATGGCATCCTCCCTATGTCTCTGTGTTCAGATTTTCCTGTTCTTACAAGGACACAAGGGATATTGGGTTTAGCGTCCACCCTAATCCAGTATGACCTTGTCTTAACTTGATTACATCTGCAAAGTTCCTAATTCCAAATAGGATCATATTCACAGGTTTCAGCTGAACACTAATTTTGTCGGGGGGGGGGGGACACTACTCAATCCAGTACAAACAGCTATTAATGTAGCTGATGCAGAATTTTCTGTTCCTTAATTCAGTTAAATTTGAGTTATCACACAACCAGAAAAAATAAGGCACATGTATACACTGAAAGGCAAGGAGGGCAGAATTTATTAAGCGAAAGGAAATCTCTCCACAAAAGGAGGGGTCCCTCATGCAGGTTTTCCACCTCACAAATTGAATGCCAGGCCACCACACACGAGCTGAAGGGGCATGGCTTCTCTCCTGCATAAGGTGCAAACTCCGTGTGGCTCCACCCCATGTACGGGCACTTGGTCTAAGTTACATTGATTTATCTCCCTTACTGCACGTGTGTTGAGAAATGGAATTTTTCACAGTGGGCATGTTCAGGCAAGCCATCTGTGCACAATGACCTGGGCAAGTCGGAGGTTCTTCAGGGACCCTTCCGTATTTGCCTAGGCATGTGCCCGTCTCCCTTTTCTTTCATAGCTATCTGTTTTATAGATTGGTCTAATATATGTTTTACCAATACTACAAGAAAATGGCTTACATGATTATGGAGGCTAAGAGGTCCCATGATCTGTCATCTATAAGCTGGAGACCCAGGAAGGCCTGTGGTATAATTCAGTCTGAGTCCAAAGGCTTGAGAACCAGGGGAGTCAGTGATGTAAATTCATCTGAGGACAGGAGAAGATGAGATGTCACAGCTCAAACAATGAGGCAGGAAAAAAAAGCGGGGGTGAATTCTTCCTTCCTCAGCCTTTTATTTACACCCTCAACAAATTGGATGATGTCCACCCACCTTGGGGATGGCCATCTCCTTTACTGAATCCCCCAATTCAAATTCGAATCTCCTCTGTAAACACTCAAGACACTCCAGAATAATGTTTAAACAGACATCTGGGACCCCGTGGCCTATTCAAGTTGACATATAAAATTAACCATCGCAAGTTTACCCTTGTCAACTTGGCACCCATACGCATCTCCTTAAACCATACTTAACTGCCACATAAAGACAACAGCGGCCGGGCGCGGTGGCTCACGCCTGTAATCCCAGCACTTTGGGAGGCCGAGGCGGGCGGATCACGAGGTCAGGAGATCGAGACCATCCTGGCTAACACGGTGAAACCCCGTCTCTACTAAAAATACAAAAAATTAGCCAGGCATGGTGGCGAGCGCCTGTAATCCCAGCCACTGGGAGGCTGAGGCAGGAGAATGGCATGAACCCAGGAGGCAGAGCTTGCAGTGAGCCCAGATCGCACCACTGCACTCCTGCCTGGGCAACAGGGCGAGACTCCGTCTCAAAAAAAAAAAAAAAAAAAGACAACAGCAAGGTCATAATTCCATCTAACACAATTAACAATTGAGCATTCTACCAGAAACACGCTAACCCATTTCCCAGAAGAGGAGGTAAAGTCTTCATGTGATGTTTACTCTCTCCTTGATATCCCATAACTTAAATACCATGATGTAAAATTAATCAAGGTTGAACATTGGAGCCAGTTTAAAAAATTAACTATATTTAAACAATGTATCTATAACAAATCTATAATACATCACTATAATAAAATCAATGCATCTTATGTTACAGAATAAGGAAATGAGAAGAAAGAAAGCTACACACACACAACATGGAGTCATAGCAAAATATGGAGGACATACTTATGACAATCACAGTCTATGTTTCTGTAACTGGTCATATGATCAAAGTCAGTATTTCTTCCACCACTTATTCTGTATTCCCTTTGCCTTCAGCAAGCACTTCATCTGGTCATGGCACTTACCTGGTGGTGACCCAAACCTTTATTGCTGAAAGGTCTAGGTCATTAGTGGTCCTGTCTGAATTAAGTTGTAGTTTTCCACTGACCTTAATCACAGGGCATGGTAACACTAAGAGAAGCCCTAAGGAATCTCACATATTCCCAACATACTTTTCCTTACCACCATTTGGGGGTAGTCCAGTTTCTACTTGGTAGTCGGGAACAATCACCCAGCCAGCACTGTAACTCATTTGTCTATTGAGTTAGAGGCATGAGAAGCCCGAAGTGGCTGAGGAGCAGTCTTAAACTTCCAGTTCAAATAAATCATGATTGTACCTCTCAGTGGAAAACATGCCACCCTATGTAAGACCTCTAGGCCAGCAGAGCATAAGTCATGACAACAGGAAGCAAAAATTTTGCTAGTGGGTCACTAGGGCTAATAGCGAACAGTGTCCCTCCTATTTTGACCCCTTGATTCCTGGATCTGTGAATCCATCATAAGAGAAATGCACCATATACTAGATGCTGACTCAGAGAGTAGACAGCCTTCCACAGAACCTTGTCCCAGCCCTACAAGGCACTGCCGTATAGCTGGTGCTATTACTGTCTTCAAAATACCATTCCACTGCTCTATGTAGCCAGTTGATTCAGGATAGTAGGGAACATTGTAAGAAAATTCCATGAGCATGGGCCCACTGCCACACTTTTGCTGTGAACTGAGTTCCTTGTAATGCTGTGTGGAATACCATGGTCATAGATGAGAGATTCTGTAAGTCCATGGATGGTAGTTTTAGTAGAAGCACTGTGCGAAGGGAAAGTGAATCTGTATCCAGAGTAAGATCTATTTCAGTAAGGACAAAACACTATCCCTTCAACGATGGAGGTGGATCAATGTAATTAACCTGCCACTAGGCAGCTGACTGCTGACTCTGGGAAATGGTGTCATATCAGGGGCTCAGTGTTGGTCTCTGCTGCTGGCAGACTGGGCACTCAGAGATAGCCTTGGCCAGGTCAGCCTTGGTGAGTAGAAGTCCACGTTGCTGAGCCCATGCATAATCTCTACTCTTGTTACCATGGCTACTTTGTTCATGAAACAATTGGGTGATGACACGGGTGGCTGAAGAAAGAGGCCTACTAGTATCCACAGAACAGGTTATCTTGTCTACTTTATTAAAATCCTTCTGTGCTAACCCTTTGGTGAGCATTCACATGGGGCACAAATATCTTCGCCCTTTTTGCCCATTCAGTGTCTATCCATATACTTCATCTCCAGATTTCTTTGTCACCAATTTTCCAGTTATGTTGAACTCCCTGACGATCCTGCCAAACCACTGGCCACAGCCTACAAATTGGCATATAATTGAATATCTGGCCATTTTTCCTTCTAAGCAAAGTCAACAAGGGGGACTGCTCAAAGTTCTTTCCACTGGGAAGACTTCCCTTCACCACCGTCCTTCAAGGTAGCCCAGAGGTGAGCTGAGTGCTACAGCTGTCCACTTTTGGGTGGTACCTGCATATCATATAGAAGCCTCTGTAAACCAGGCCTAAGTCTTCTCTTTCTCTGTCAGCTGGTTGTAAGGAAGTCCCCATGAAGCCACAGATGCAGGCTGGAAGAGAGAAGGCAGGTAGCAGAAGTGGGGACTATGGAAATTTGGCCTACTTCTTCATGTAACTTCCTTGTGCCTTCAGGGCCTGCTCAGGCCCAATCACGTGTATGCCATTTCCATCTGATGACGGAGTGTTGCTGGGCATATCCAACTTTGTGCATTGGTGGCTCAGATAACATCCAGTTCATGACAGGCAGCTCAGGTTGCATGGTAACTTGGTGGCTCAAGAAGTATCCGTCTCTACTAAGGCCTAGTAGCAGGCCAAGAGCTGTTTCTCAGAAAGAGACTAGCTATTTGTTGGTAATGGCAGGACTTTGCTCTAAAATCCTAAACCAAGATTCACCTACAGGGACCTGCCAGAAGCTTCAAACAGCATCCCTATCTGCCACTGCCACTTAAACACCATTGGATCTGCTGGATCATAAGACCCAAGTGGCGGAGCAGCTTTAACAGCAGCCTGGACCCGTTACAGAGACTTTTCTTGTTCTGGGCCCTACTCAAAACTAGCAGCTTTTTGAGTCAATTGGTAAATGGGCTGAAGTAACATAATGAAATTGGAAAATGTTGCCTCCAAAACCCAAAGAGGCCCACGAAGTATTGTGCCTCTTTCTGGGTTGTAAGAGCAGCAAGCTGCAAGTACTTATCCTTCACCTTAGAAGAAATATCTCAACATGCCCCATGTCACTGTATCCCTACCAATTTCACTAAGGTAGAAGGTCCTTGAAATGCAGTCATATTTATTTGAAATGCAGTCATATTTATTTCCTACCCTCTGATGCAAATGTCTTTCCACTAAGTCTAGTGTAGTTTCTACTTCTTGCTACTAGGTCAAATCAGCATAATGTCATCAATTATATGAATTAGTGTAATATTTTGTGGAAGGGAAAGGTAATCAAGAGCCCCATGAACTGAATTATGACATAGAGTTGGAGAGCTGATATACACCGGATATACAACAATGAAGGTGTGTCGGGGGCCCTGCCATCTGAAAGCAAACTGCCTTTGTGGACTGGTATGAAAAAAAAGACATTTGCCAGATAAATTCCATTGCCTCACCAAATAATGGTGAAATAAATATTTCATACATAACTTTTATATTTAAAATGCAAATTATAAATATAATATACATATTTACCTGTACTTTTGCAAATAATTATATAGGCCTGACTGGAAGGGAATGTTCCACCTTCCTGCCATTTTTTAATGACAAATTTCTGATAAAATTCCTTGTTACCTAATGAATGACTTCAGTTTCAAGATATGCTAAATGCATTCAGTTTCCAGTAGCTCTGGGCACACACTGTATGCTAGGACTTGGTGAACTTGAGGACTGAAAGAGTTTCTTGGCCTGCTTGTCTGGAAAGTGCAGTGGTTCCTTGCAGACCTTTTGTCTTCATTATTTTCAAAATTTCTTCTAAAATAAAAATCAAAAGGTAAAATCCATTAAGCCATTTGGTAGTGTGCATGATCAATAAGCAATTTAATAAAGTTAAACACAGATGATTTATAAATTGTATTCATCAATTTATTTGATATACAAAACAATGTATATCAAATAAATGTCTATTACAGTGAACTTAGTCTTCAGCTAAACAGGAGCCCTTCGTATTTTCAAAGTGTTGCTGGTGATTCTAATCAGAATGAATGGCTTGCTTTGCAGTCACAGCCTACTTTAGGCTCAGCAGAAACATTAATTGTCCTTATTATTATAGCAAGTGATCAGTTTTTTAGTTGCTTGGCTCCAATCTCTGCCCTATGTCTTTCTCTTTGGATGACAAGAGCCAATGATGGTGTGGGACAAACTGAATAGTGACATTGCACAGTGAGAGTGGAAGAAGTAGCTTATTTCTTTCAGGCATATTGAGAAAAGAAAACCTTCCTTATAAATAAATAAAACTAAGAAGACTGAACTAAGAAAATGGAGAAGAAAGAAAAAAAGAAAAGGAAAGGTAAGGAAAAGAAAAGAGAGAGAAAGAAGGAAGGATGAACGGAAGGAAGGAAAAAAAGGAGAGAAAAGAGAGAGAGAGAAGAAAGAAAGAAAAAAAGAAAGAAAGAAAGAAGAGAAGGAAAGGAAGGAAGGAAGAAGGAAGGAAGGAAGGAAGAAGGAAGGAAGGAAGGAAAGAAAGAGAGAGAGAGAAAGACAAAGGGAGGAAAAAATAAGAGAAGAGAAAAGAGAGAAAAAGAAAAGAAAGAAAGAAAGAAAAAAAGAAAAGAAAGACAGACAGAAGGAAAAAAGAGAAAAGAGAAAAAGAGAAAGAAAGAAGAAAAGAAGGTAAGGAAGAAGAAGAAGGAAAGAAAGAGAGAGAAAGAAGGAAGGACCGATGGATGGAAGGAAGGGAAAGAAGAGAAGAGAAAGAAAGAAAAGAAAAAAGAAAAGAAAATAAGGGAAGGGAAGCAAAGGGAAGGAAGGGAGGAAGGAAGGAGGGAGGAAGGGAGGGAAGGAGAAAGAAAGGAAGAGAGAGAGAGAGAAGGAAGGAAGGAAGGAAGGAAGGAAGGAAGGGAAAAGAAAGAAAGATGGATGGAAGGAAGGAAAAAAAGAAGAGAAAAGAGAGAAAGAAAAAGAAAGAAGGAAAAGAAAGGAAAGGAAAGGAAAGCAAGGCAAGAGAAAATTAGCAATCACGTGATTTGAAGGGCTGAGGATTTTTAGTACAAGCTAAAAATCAAACTTGAAGTGTACAGAAAAAGAGAAGAAAGATTATGTTCAATTTAGTTATAAAGCAATCTGAAAACAAAGATATAAAAATCTATACAATAAAATAACTTTCATGATAGAACTCCAGACGAACTGAAGAGTACAGCACAATTGTCAAGGGCATGAAGACTAGAGGGTAGAGAGAAAATTCATAACACTGAGGGTGAGGTGTTAGAAGAAAACATTAGCGATCTTTGTACTTGCATATTAGGTTATAAATGGGGAAAAGAGAAGATAACACTTTTTAAAATAAGAAAAATTTACCCCTGAAAACCTCTTTTCTCTTTCAACATGAATTTATGCCTTTATTAGCTATTGTCAGTGATTGTTTTAAGTGATTCATTAACATGCCAGGTTATCTTATAAATTATAGCATTTTACATTATTAACTTTTGATTTCAGCAACATAAATGCTTAAACAATAAATTGGTCTGTATTACCTGGGTTGTTTTCTTTAATGGTAACTAAATAGAATAATCCTCTTGGTGAAAGGAGATCTGGAACCAGGGGGAAAAACCTGTCCATCACTTCCCGACCATTTCTGCCACCAGCCCAAGCTGCCTCTATTCCGTGACTTCCTACCTGTGAACAATTAGAAAGAATGTTTTCTTTTTTTTTTTTTTTTTTTTTTTTGAGACGGAGTCTCGCTCTGTCGCCCAGGCTGGAGTGCAGTGGCGCGATCTCCGCTCACTGCAAGCTCCGCCTTCCGGGTTCACGCCATTCTCCTGCCTCAGCCTCCCGAGTAGCTGGGACTACAGGCGGCGCCACCACACCCGGCTTTTTTGTATTTTTAGTAGAGACGGGGTTTCACCCTGTTAGCCAGGATGGTCTCGATCTCCTGACCTTGTGATCCGCCCGCCTCGGCCTCCCAGAGCGCTGGGATTACAGGCGTGAGCCACGGCGCCCGGCCGAATGTTTTCTTTTAACTCAAGTTTGATTTAGATCACAAACCGAATCTTTTTGAGAAGTATTATCACCAAACAAGTAAATATTTTGCATTTTTTACTGCTGACGAAGGAGCAGTAAAGTTGAATCTAAGTTTCATCGTTTTCTAGTGTGTAACCTTGGGTAAATTAGTAATCTTGTTTGTGAATTACTTTCCTCCTTTATCTGTAAAATTAGGAAAAGGATAGTTCCATATGTACAATTAGAAAAATAATAACTGGATAAAAAATGTTTTTGTAATAATAAAAAAAATTTTTATCCACTGTTAGGAATAAATGAGGAAGTATATTTAAAGTTTTGAGAACATTGCTCTGCATATATCAAGGGCTTAATAATAGTTCTTACTATTAGTACAATGCTTAAATTGAGAGACGTGGGTAGCTTTTATACTTACTATAGAAAGAAGCTAGGAGGAGGAGCTTGTATTATAAGATACATACTGTACAGAAACAAAGTTTCAAAATGTCCCAGTGCATCTGGCCCTCTTGTAGATTAAAGTGTGAAACACATAGACCTTTTCTAAGGAACCCATTTATTATATATTATATAAAGGCATACTGAAGCATGTTTCCTCTAACAATCTATATTTTAGAAACAATACGCCTGAGAGTTTATATAGTATTAAAAAATCTTTAGATCCTTATCATTGTATATTGTTTCCTTTTTTCACTTTCTTTTTTTTGAGACAGGGCCTCCTTCTGTCACCTAGACTGGAGTGCAGTCATGTAATCATGGCTCACTGCAGCTTCCACCTCCTGTGCTCAAGTGATCCTCCGACTTCAGCTTCCCAAGTGTCTAGGACTACAGGCGCAAACAACCATGCCTGTTAATCATATTAACATTTCCTCTGTTTTTAAGACTTTCCTCCTGGAGACTTCCTTTTCCTGGCATTCTCTCTACTTTTCTCCTGGGTTATACTCCCCATTTGTGCTGTTGGCACAAACCAACATCTTAATTCATGTTTCTGGATATATCAGTAAGTATACCCACAGCTTATTATAAATACAAACTCCTATTATTTGTATATTATGTTTCCTGGATCTAATCTCTGAGTCTCTTCTCTTTTACCTTTGTGAATTCTTCTCCATATCTTTATGCTCTGTGCACTGAAATCTTTTTTTCACTGGTTTCCAGATAACTGATTCAGGTCTTGACAGTGACCACATTCTCTTTTAATTCACTGCCTGATGTTTTACCGTGTAAAACGTATTTTTAAGCTCCAAGACATCTTCGTTGTGTTGTATTTTATCCTGCTTTCTAGCTAATTGCCCAGCTCATGAGAATACGACAGGTTTTCTTTCCGTTGGGAAAGCAAAATAGCCCAAGGCATTGCCTGCACTCAATCATCTATACATCCCAGCAGCTGTAAGGCTCAGAAGCATGTGGCTTAGGGCTAGAAACATGAAGAAAGGAAACCCATTCAGGTCACCATGTTCCCAGAATCTCCTTTTCATTGATTAGTCTTCTCACTAGTTGGATAGTGCTTTCCTAAACAGCTTTATGAAACTGCATTTCCCTCAAGGGCTGTTCACCTTCTGACTTCCCCGTCATATGAGTTCATATGTCAGCAGAGCAATAGCTTTTTCGCTGTTTAACTGCCATTAGTAGCAACAGCAGCCAAATGGATCCTTCCCATCTTGGCGCTGAGGTGAATGTATTTTTTACCAGCCTTGCCAGAGAATAATTATCAAAGAATAAAAAAGTATAATAATTAAAGGAAAGCTAGTCTTAGCCCATTATTAAACTTTGACCATTCCTGGGAAAAGGTTAACGCGATTTACCTTTTCATTACCGAGATTTTAAAAAATAATATACTTCAAGATTATTTGTTTTCCCTATCTGAAATGAGAATTGGTTCCACTCTTTCACTTTTTGGAAATACTTGTGAAAGGAGGAAACCAGAAACTTTGAGAAGGAATTCCTATGTGAATTTAAGATTGGTTAAAAAAAAATTTTTTTTTTTTTTTTTTTGAGACAGAGTCTCACTCTGTCAGCCAGGCTGGAGTACACTGGCCGATCTCGGCTCATTGCAACCTCTGTCTTCCAGGCTCAAGCAATTCTCCTGTGACAGTCTCCCAAATAGCTGGGATTACAGGTGTGTGCCACCAGGCCCGGCTAATTTTTGTATTTTTAGTGAATTGGTTCCACTCTTTCACTTTTTGGAAATACTTGTGAAAGGAGGAAACCAGAAACTTTGAGAAGGAATTCCTATGTGAATTTAAGATTGGTTAAAAAAAAATTTTTTTTTTTTTTTTTTTGAGACAGAGTCTCACTCTGTCAGCCAGGCTGGAGTACACTGGCCGATCTCGGCTCATTGCAACCTCTGGTCTTCCAGGCTCAAGCAATTCTCCTGTGACAGCCTCCAAATAGCTGGGATTACAGGTGTGTGCCACCAGGCCCGGCTAATTTTTGTATTTTTAGTGACAGTCTCCCAAATAGCTGGGATTACAGGTGTGTGCCACCAGGCCCGGCTAATTTTTGTATTTTTAGTAGAGACGGGGTTTCACCATGTTGGCCAGGCTGGTCTTGAACCCTTGACCTCAGTAATCTGCCGCCTCGGCCTCCCAAAGTGCTGGGATTACAGGCGTGGGCCACTGTGCCGGGCAGGTTAAAACATTTTGTTCTGCAAATTTTTTATTCATGATAAAGGATATGTGTAATATATATGTACATGTATATTCGAATATATGAATATAAACACCATGGCCTGATACGAACGTGATTTTTAGTGACAGATATGTGTCACGGTTTGTATTTCCATCATTTAAGGTTCCTTTCCTAGGTCTATTAATAGGACTCGATTACTGACAATTAGGAGTAAAATCAGAGTAGTCTGTGATAGCAGCAGCTGATCGATGTCATAGGGTGACATTCATTTGAATTTACAAACAAAATAACTGAAAATATTAATAATTAAATTTTGTGGTATGTTTTACCTCTTCAGGTGGAGTCACTACATAGGGGGGATTGAACACCAGAAGATCAACTTTTTCCTTCAATCTTGGTAGCAAGCCTTTGACCTAAATGTATTCAACAATAGTGAGAATTTTACATTAAACTCTGAATTAAATAATTGACAAATCAATCTTTAAAAATAATCTTCCAAGTTTTTGGGAAAATAATGTGTTAGGGCCTGCACTTGTAGAGAGAAACGAAGTTAAGTATTTTTACGTTTTCATTCAGAAAAATAATATAGGCCATTAAATAAAAATAAGGAAATTAAACTATCAGAATGAATATTAAAAAGCCTGTACTCCTCAACAGCACATATATTTATATTCTGGGTTCACTTTTAGAAAATGAAATAAGAAAGCAAATTCTAATTCTGTATAATCTGTATAGACTTGGATGTAAGTTTACAACTATATTTGCTAACATTTTCACAATTTTTCCCATATCTGTACAGATACCTACCATCATTTACTGGATACTGTTCTATAGTTTCTTCTATCTCTGGTGTTTCACCATTCTATCAAAAATACTTAACACTAATTATGGAAACATTAAAGAAATTTTTAGGCCAGACATGGTGGCTCATGCCTGTTATCCCAGCACTTTGGGAGGCCGAGGCAGGCAGATCACCTGAGGTGAGGAGTTCGAGACTAGCCTGGCCAACCCATGGACAACATGATGAAACCCAGTCTCTACTAAAAATACAAAAAACTAGCCAGGCACAGTGGTGGGTGCCTGTAATCCCAGCTACCCGGGAGGCTGAGGCAGGATAATTGCTTGAATCCAGGAGGCGGAGTTTGCAGCGAGCCAAGACTGCACCACTACACTCCAGCCTGGGCGACAGAGTGAGACTCTGTCTCAAAAAAAAAAAAAAAAAGAAAAAAAGAGAAAGAAAAAAAGAAAGAAATTTTTAAAATACAAAAAAAAAATCACCACATTGATCTCATGCAAATTATCAGAGTACCTTTCTTGATACCCTAGCTTTTATTAGCAGTAACAACTTCTAATAATATGAAAATAATTTCTTATCTCTTTGACTTAATTCCTTCTAAGCTACAAAATCATTTACAAATTAAAAAAAAAAAGCAAACAGGAAAGCTACCTACGCTCATCAGCGTAAGAAAAGTGTAGGTTAAGGAGTACAGAAGTATTTTGTATTTCATATGTCTACCTAGTGCATGCTATTATTATTTTTGCCTATAAAAAGGTATTTCACATACATAAAACTGCCACTTGAAAATGTGTGCTGTTAACTTCTTAAAACAATGGTTGTGCAGTTGTCATTTGTTGTTTTTACCTACTGAGGACCCACTGCCCCTTTCTTCTGATTTAACTTCCTTGACTTTTGTTAGGGAAGCTCTACCTCCCATCATTCTCTATCTAAGTGGCCTGAGTAGGGTTTATCCCAACTCAGCTCCTGGGATGGGACTAGGAGCCAGGTTGAAGCCAATCATCTCCATATTCAAATCTCCTCTGACCACAGCAAAAGGTTGACAGATAGGCACATAACCCAAGTTGATCCCGATAATACTCATTCTGGGGCCTCTTCTACAGTAACTGAATAGAAAGGGCCTCTTTCCTCGGGAAGGTGTTGAGAAATAAGATACAGATATGCAAACATCCTGTTACCATGAAGGGAAAGACTGCCTAGGAACAGAGCCACCAGAGAGAAGTTCAGAGATAAGAAAAAGACGTCTATAACATTCTTAGAGTTCCTGGAAGTAGCTGTGCTGAAGCCATCAAATTTTTGTTTTGTTTTTTTGTTTTGTTTTTTGAGACAGGGCCTTGTTCTGTTCCCCAGGCTGGAGTGCAGTGGCACGATCATGGCTCAAGGCAGCCTCAACCTCCCAGGGTCAAGCAATCCTCCCACCTCAGCCTCCCAAGTAGCTGGCACCACAGGTGTGCACAACCACATCCAGCTATTTTTTTTTTTAATTTTTATTTTTTATAGAGACGAAGTCTCACTATATCTTACAAGCTGGTCTCGAACTCCTGGGCTGAAGCAATCATCCTGCCTTGGCATCCCAGAGTACTGGGACTAAAGGTGTGAGCCTTTGCACACACTAACTTTAGCCTTTGCACTAACTGGACTAACTTTTTAAATTTAAGCCAGTTTGAACAGGGTTCACTATAACTTCTGACTGAAAGAGGTCTGATCTATATAAGTTAATATAAATTCCTTTTGAATTGTGGAAAAGATGGATTACATCAACAAAGAATTTACTTTGTATAGGGTATACTGCTTAGTGGGTCAAAAGTCAATTACTTACCAAAGTTTCTTTGACCTAAAACATCTTAACCTTATTTGAAAAGAAAATTATTATTGGACAAAGATTAGCTTACCAAATCTGTAACAACTGGTTGAACGTGGACTTTGTTACAGCGTGCTGTCTCTAGGGTACAAGCTGCTGCCTCAGGGTTGATATCAGTGCACCTATAAACAGAAATGGAAGGAAACTATCCTATGTCTATAAGGCAAATCTGTTTCTGAGTAATTTCAAGGAATGTTCCATTAATTCTACACAGAACAGATTTAGAAAATAAAATTAGAATGTATTCAATAATGGCAAATGAGAACAAGGATTTGTTCTACTGATGAAAAAGACTGTTATACTGATACAATGTCCAAGAGTAGAATACACATACATGCACACACATCTGAAGGAATTTATGAAATTATGATACATCCAACGAAGGAGTACTATGCAGCCACCAAAAATGAAATTTAAAGGGAATTTTTGATAGGAAAATGTTTATGAGACAAAATTAAATTAAAAACACAGGAAATGGGCCAGGCGCGGTGGTTCATGCCTGTAATCCCAGCACTTTGGGAGGCCGAGGCAGGCGGATCACCAGGTCAGGAGATCGAGACCATCCTGCCTAACATGGTGAAACCCTATCTCTACTAAAAATACAAAAAAAAAATTAGCTGGGTATGGTGGCAGGTGCCTGTAGTCCCAGCTACTCAGGAGGCTGAGGCAAGAACCCAGGAGGCCGAGGTTGCAGTGAGCCAAGATCACGCCACTGCACTCCATGCTGGGTGACAGAGCGAGACTTTGTCTCAAAAAAAAAAAAAAAAAACACACAGGAATTGAAAAAAAGAAAAAAACAGAAGCAAACTCAGTTGGACCATGTATGGTAAAATTTATAGGTGATTTTGATTTTCTTCTTTATACTTTTCTATATTCTCCAATTTTCTATAAATTTAAGCAACTTTAAATTTCTTATATCAAATTATTTACCTAAGAAATAAATCAAATTTAGAGACGATCTAAAATTATGCTGCTTCTACAATTATGCAGTATGATGGAGCAGTTTGAACATGAATAATTTTTAGGGAAGCATAGTTTGTAATCTGAGTTTTTGCTATGCTTAAATACTATAAGATACATACTGTCTATTTAAAAATTATTTCATTAGAGTTGTCATGGTTAACCTGTCAGTGAAAGATCTAGATGAATATGATATACTTACATGTACAAAGCCTGAGGACCTATCATAGAGGCTAGGAATGCAGATACTACACCAGACCCTGCCCCTACTTCTAGGCATATTTCCACTCTAAAAAAAACAAAATAAATATTAGTACAGTAGAATCAAAATACTTTTCACAGAAAACTCTCATGCTAGCTTTATTTCTAGCACGTATATTTCTCTAGCATCATCACTAACCTGCAAATATATGAAAATAGAAATTTGTAATTTCTGACAACTACTTCATACTTAATACTGCATAACTCAAAATTACTAATATTTTGGGTATGTAATATATTTTAAGTCCACAAAAGTTATATATTACCAAACATGGCTTTCAGTTAATTTTGACAAACCATTACATTAAAAAGTATGGAAAAACATTAATCCAGGGTTGGAAATCTTAATGTGAAAGATACCATTCCTTCGCACAAGGAGCTCCTAGCTTAGTATTTCCTAAAATGATAAGGTTTGTATTATTACTAAACTTATTTTTGATAAAAGGTTCCTCTATCATTTTTAACACCTAACATTCATAGAGCCATCAGTATATCCTAGAGAATTAAAAGGTCCCTCAGTAATAGAGCAGGACAAAAATTCCTTTTCTGTACAGCTATAAGCTAATTCAGATAATAGTATCTGATCTTCTAATGTCAGCCATCCGAGAATGCTGTTAACTATTAAAATCTTCATTCTACCGTACTTTATCTTTCCATTAAATTTATTTTCTTGCCTATAATCTTGGAAGTTCTTTTTTAGATCCGTGCTCTTGCTCTGTCACCTAGGCTACAGTGCAGTGGTGCCACCATAGCTCACCGCAGCCTTTAACTCCTGGGCTCAAGTGATCTCCCACCTCAGCCTCCCAAGTAGTTAGGACTACAGTAATAAACCACAGTGCCAGGCCTCTATAATGTTACACATGCATCAAAAGCATAAATTATCCCTGTCACAAAGATCAGCTTGATGGCATTTAGGGAAATTTTTAGCACTAAACTCCCAAAACAACTACCCAGTGACAAGCTCCAGAGGTTTTAAACTTTTGGAACCAGTCTACACATCTGACAACTCTTTATTAGGTGGTAGTAAGGTCTGTGAATCTCACCAGGTGGCTTCTCTTTGAAAATAACTATCACGGTCTCATAAATAATTAGAATTCCAAACTAGAAATAACCCAAGACTTTATAACAAAATCAGCTCCTTTTACAGCATACTTTGCAGTGCAATTTGTGCTTGTAAATCTTTCTGGGCTATCTTGAGAAAAGACAAGTTATAAAACAGTACTGTTCCACTCTATACTCCAGTAAATCCAAAAGTTCCATCATCTACAATGAAAGACTAGTTTAATAAGAGCTGGGGCATTTTATACGTGGAAAAATATGACCAAGTTTAAGAGGGATAAATACAATATAGATCTTTGAAATCTGACAGCTGTTTGTTCCATCCTGAGAAAACCCAGTTCACCTCATCTTCAAACAAATCTAACAACACAAATTCCTTATATTTAAAAATCACAATGTCAGTATTCATTCTTTCTGCTATTAATTTAAAATTGATGGCGATCACTTCAACAAATCCATTTAAATGAAGTGCTAGGGTAGACTATTGTCTGCTAGCTGAATGTAACTTTCTATTTTGTAACAATTAAATGAAAAATTCAGTTCCTCAGTAGCACTAGCCACATTTCAAGTCCTCTGTAGCCACAAGTGAGGACTGGCTGGTGCTAGAGTATGCTATCCAGTGGGTTTTAAAATATTTCCCCCCTCCAGTAACACAACTTTCTTTCATGTTTGTTAAGGGTGCTATGTGCTGAGTAAATCAAATAATACCACGCAATTTTAATATTTAATACTTTAAAAATTAATAATCAACGTTTCCGGAATATTTTGTTTCCAAACGTGTTATACTATCGCATCTCTCAGGGACATGTGTTCTTCAGATTAACAGGTGACAGGTAAAGAGACGCCTTTGCATGGTAAGCAGTCAGGAAGCTCATGAGACAGAGCAGCCCCTGGCAAAGGAGATGTGTCCCCGGCACACTCATTACTTGTCAGTACAGGAAAATTCTCAATTACGGCGTCCTGGCTGTCAATCATCTGCAAGTGGACCCCGCCTCCTCCGGCTTAGGGCGGTGATAGTCACCGTCCCGGCCCTCCGCCACTGCACTTCTTCAGAACGCCTCAGCCCTTTCCCGTCAGAGCCCCTCCCCTCCTCGCACCCCGCCAGCTCGGCAGCTGCTGCCTCGAGCGCGTCCAGAAGCAGAAACGTGTCCTCCGCGGGCTCGTACACGTCGCTGAAGGCGCCGCGGCCCACGTGCCCGTGGAACGGCGTAGGGAAACGCTGGCTCGCCATCATCCTTCACTGCGTTCTGCGCGCCTGCGCAGGGCGCGCGCATGCGCATCCCCTCAAGCGCCGGTCTTGGGGTGGGGCTGGAGTTCCGGGCGACCGGAGTGTTCTTCGGTCTTATATCTAAATTTGTCTGGGGACCTCCTTGAAATTTCTAAGTAGGCAGTTGTATAATCCGTGACTATTGACATTTACTTTCTCCTTTGGAACATTTAAATTTTATTCTGTTAACTAGAACCTGATAGTGGGCATTCTGAGTTGTTTTTAACTAAGGTAAATGTTCTTCATTCTACTAATATTTAGAAATTCTGTTTTACTCCTAGTTTGCAAGGATTTGAAAAAAATACATAATAAATTTTACTATTTTTTTGTTAGCTGAACTTTAAGCTTTACGCTATAAAGATGAAGACTTTTCTCGTTTGATTTTTTTTACTGTACTTTATAAATTGCTTTCCTGATGAATCATGAATGCACTCTTTTTATAAACCTTAAGCGAGATGATGCGGTTTAATACACTGCTGAATTTGGGGGGCTAATAATCTGGCTCTGTTTTTTACCAAGATTACGCTACCCTCATTGTATGAGTTAGGACACTGTTTCTGGAACATTAGGTAGAAAACCTTAAAACTGGCTGGGCTTGGTGCCTTTTTGAGTAGATGGATCTTTGATGTTTTGGAACATTTATAAGTTATTAGACTGTTCAAGTACTTGCATTCTTTTTGAGTCGATTTCTGAAATTTGTTTCCCAACGAAACATTTTTACAGCTCTTTTTTTAAATTTGAAAAATAAAAATACAGAAAAGTATTTGAGTTACAAATTTTATTTTATTTCTCTTTTTTTTTTTTTTTGGAGACAGAGTCTCGCTGTATCCCCCATGCTGGAGGGCAGTGGCGCGATCTAGGCTAAGTGCAACCTCTGCCTCCCAGGTTCAAGCGATTCTCCTGCCTCAGTCTCCGGAGTAGATGGGATTACAGGCACCTGCCGCCGCAGCCGCCTAATCTGTATTTTTAGTAGAGACGGATTTCCCCCATGTTGACCAGGCTGGTCTCAAACTGCTGACCTCAGGTGATCCACCCGCTTCAGGCTCCCAAAGTGCTGGGATTACAGGTGTGAGCCCGTAACACACGTGGCTGGGTTACAAATTTAAAAACCCCAAGTTTTAAACCCAGAAATGACAGTATTTTCTCACGTTTCCTTAAAATATTTTTTAAATACAAGAACTAAAATATTACAAATGAGATGGATGTTCTTTCTCTACTTACCTTTAGTTTAATTGTGTAACCTTCTCTCCAAGGCTCTTATGGATTTAGTGTATGTCCATCTAACCCATGTAAAAACACGGATCTTGCATTTATACGTTTATAAACAGTCATATCTTTATAAGCAACATGTGGTGTGTTTTAAAATTTACGTAACTGGTACTAGGTTGGACATGTTTTTCAAATTTCTTTTTCAGTCAGCATACGAGATTTATGTTTTGGTATATAAAGTTAGGTTACTCCTCTTAACTACCATATAGAATTTTATTATATAAAAATATGAAATATATATATATATAGAAAACAGAGCGAGAAAGAGAGAGAGATAGAGTTGTACTTGATCTCCTGGGTTCAAACGATCCTCCTGCCTCAGCCTCCTGAGTAGCTGGAACCATAGGCGCATGCCACCACTCCCAGCTTATTTTATTTTATTTATTTTTTGAGATGGAATCTCGCTCTGTCACCGAGGCTGGAGTGCATTGGTGTGATCTTGGCTCACTGCAACCTCTGCCTCCGGATTCAAGCTAATCTCGTATCTCAGCCTCCCTAGTAACTCCCAGCTAATATTTAATTTTTCTTTTTAGAGATGGGGGTCTCACCACGTTTCCTAAGCTGTTCTCAAACTCCTGAGCTCAAGCAGTCCTCCAACCTAAGCCTCCCAAAATGCTAGGATTACAGACATGAGCCACTGTGCCTAAAGTATCTTTTATCTGGGTTGGATAAATGTCTACTGGTAAAGATTTTCTTCTTTTCAGGTTTTCACTATTATGAACAACGTGGTGATTAACTTTCTTTCTTTTTTTTTTTTTTTTTTTGAGATGGAGTCTCGCTCTGTTGCCCAGGCTGGAATGCAGTGGCATGATCTCAACTCATTGCAACCTCCACCTTCCAGATTCAAGCGATTCTCCTACCTTAGCCTCCCGAGTAACTGGAATTACAGGCACGCACTACCATGCCCTGCTAATTTTTGTATTTTTAGTAGAAATGGGGTTTCACCATGTTGGTGAGGCTGGTCTCGAACTCCTGACCTCAGGTGATCTGACAGCCTCGTCCTCCCAAAGTGCTGGGATTACAGGCATGAGCCACTGCGCTGGGCCATGATTAACTTTCTTATATATAGTTTCTCCTGATGTTGTACAAGTTTCCTAAGTGTCAACCTAGAAGTGGATGAGCTGGGTTTTAGTGTATGCAGATTTTCGGTATTTCTACAAACTCATTTTACTTATTTATACTCCTACCTCTTGATTGCAGATTTGATATTTAATATTATAAAACTTATTTTTGTTTATTTTAAATTGATCTCATAGCTAACTGATGTTGGGCATGTGTTCCTTTGTTTCTTCCTTTGTAAATTATTCATTTTTGCTTATTTTACCTTAAGTTTTGCCTTTATTTTTTGTCAAAGTTGATACATACATAGTTTAATAGGGCAAACAGTTCTACAAAATTTATTATGAAAAAGCAGTATTTTCTAGCACTCAACATCCAATTTCTCATGTCTCATTCTTCAGAGGGGACCACCTTCAACTTTTAGCTGTGTCTTTTGCCATTCATTTCCATATCTCTGTATACTAAGCTTGTAATAATACTTCGTTTTCAAACATTAAGCATTATCTATAGAATTTCTATGACTGGAAGTAAGAATAATTCTCTTGAATCCAGTAGACCAATATGTTGCCAGTCTCCTCTCCCTTTCTTCACAATGTGATACCATGGTTTTCTAAAAAATTTCTCAGCTGGGTGCGGTGGCTCACACCTGTAATCCCAGCACTTTGGGAGGCAAAGGCAGGTGGATCACAAGGTCGGGAGATCGAGACCATCCTGGCTAACACGGTAAAACCGCGTCTTTACTAAAAATACAAAAAAAAATAGCCTGGCCTGGTGGTCGGCGCCTGTAGTCCCAGCTACTCAGGAGGCTGAGGCAGGAGAATGGCGGGAACCCGGGAGGCGGAGCTTGCAGTGAGTTGAGATCGCGCCACTGCACTCCAGCCTGGGCTGCAGAGTGAGACTCTGTCTCAAAAAAAAAAGAAAAAAAGAAAAAAAAAATTTCTCAGCCGGGCATGGTGGCTCACACCTGTAATCCCAGCACATTTGGAGTCCAAGGAGGGTGGATCACTTAAGGTCAGAAATTCAAGACCTGTCTAGCCAACATGGTGAAACCCCGTCTCACTAAAAATACAAAAATTAGTCTGGTGTGGTGGTGGGTACCTGTAATCCCAGCTACTCAGGAGGCTGAGGCATGATAATTGCTTGAACCCAGGAGGTGGAGTTTGCAGTGAGCCAAGTTCACACCACTGCACTCCAGCCTGGATGACAGAGTGAGAAAAAAAAAATTGTATTATTTTTAAAACATTATTTTGCCTATATAAATGCTACTGAAATCTGACCCCCATGTGTTACACCAGTTACGTTTGCTTTCTTGCACAACTTTTTGCTTTTCCTTGAAGTTAATAATTATTAGTTTCTTGGGATGCCATAACAACTTATCACAAACTGGGTAAACAAATAAAGACATTTATTCCTGGTCCTGTAGATTAGAAATCTGAAATCAAGGTGTTGGCCTGACCGTGCCCCTTGATGAAGAGAAGAATCCTTCCTTTCGTCTTCCAGCTTCTGTTGGTTGCCAGCAATCCTGGCCGCCTTTGGCTTGTGGCAGCGGAGCTCCCATCTCTGCCTTTATCTTTCTTTGGCCTTCCCCCCTGTGTCTTTGTGTCTCCAAGACTCTCTCTCCTTGTAAGGATCTCTCTCTCCTTGGTATCCTTACAAGCATTAGGGTGCAGTTAGGAGGCACCCTAATCCAGCAGCATCTCAGCTTGATTACATCTGCAAAGACCCTACTATATTTAAGATCACATTCACAGTTTTGAGGGTGGTGGTGGTGGTGGTGGTGGTAGAGAAGGTGGTTAGGACTTCAAAATGTCTCTTCAGGAAATACAACTCAACCCACAATGATCTAGTAATAGCTACTTTTTCATTTGCTTAGTTTTCTAATATATCGCAAATCAGCCTCAAAGTCTCTTCCAATTGTTACCACCCCCTCTCCACCAATACATTTAAAGACATTGAGCGTTCTGATTATTTCTATCCAATTTACTTAGGCACTGAAACATGTCTCTGGTGTTTATTTCTTGGATTTACTTATTCTTTGCTGTTTTACCTTCAGGCTGGCTCTCCTTGTGGTAGCAAGATGGCTGCATCTTCATATCCTCACACCACCGAATTCAATGGAAGAGTCTTACCATTGCTTGCAGCAAGTCCTGCCATTTACTCTTTCTTACTGGCCCCAGATGAGTCATGTGCTCATGTGTGGATCAATCCTGTGGCTAAGGAGATGAAATGATCTGCCCCACTCAGGGCTGAGACTGAGGTCTCACTTTAGCTGCATCGCCAGCATGGTGTTTCCAAGCAAAACTGTGTTGCTGGTGTGGATGCCAGGCAATAAACACACAATTTCTGCTACATGGAAATTTCTCATGTAAGTATTGGTAATTATTTTCCTCCAGTATGTTATTATCTTTTGGTTATATTTACAGTATTTTCCACCAGATATTAACAGTTTTTCAGATATTAACCTTTTTTGGTGGAAATATTTATTCAATCTACTTTATTGTGTTTGTTTATCATTCTTGTATTGTTCTTAGAAATATCTTTCCTACTCTCTGCCATTGAAAAAAAAGTTTATTTTCTAGTTTCTGGTTTCAAAGTATAGACTTTAGTAATTGGGTTTACCTTATTACTTAGGATTTTAGGTCTTCTAGAATTCTGTTTATTTTTGTATCTATTTGATCTTTATGGCCTGAATAAGGTGAATTAACTTTTTATAATAATTATAATAAAAGTCTTTTCATACTAGAGAGTTTGTCTACTTATATTTCTCGATAGATTTTGGGTTTTTTAATTTCAATGCTATGCCAGTTGGAGTGATTGATACATGTTGACTGAAGATTATGCCTACTATGAAGTATCTGCCTTTGTGTTTGTATTGTGTATTCAGTTTGCCTGAAATTAATTTGCTTGAAATTAAGGATACAATCTTGCCTTCTTTTTGTTTCCATTTTCCTAATCTGCCTTTGTCTTTTTTTCACTGTCAGTCACACTTAAACTTTGAAACACACACACATTTTTCCTAGTGTTGCCATTGGTCAGCATCACATCTTCTCCTAATAAAGATAAAAATTCTGGCATGTTTTTATTTCTCTTTTTTTTCCAATGTCCCCTAACCCCCCCTTCCAGGTTGAGATCATCTGAAAATTTTGGAGATGCTTATTAATTTTTAAAAACAACTAACTAATTTAATTTAACTACGTATGTTATTTTATTCTTTTATTTTTTTAGAGATGGGGTCTTGCTATGTTGCCTAGGCTGGTCTCGAAGTCTTTGCCTCAACTGATTCTCCCCTCTCAGCCTCCCAAGTCTCCTGAATTATGGGCATGAGCCAATGCACCTGGCTTTTTAAAAATATATACCTATTTTAATAGTTCTCTGATCCACAGTTTTATAGTATGCCATGTTTTTTCTTATGACTTATATTGGTTTGGAATACATACTCTGCTAGTTGTTTCTGAGAGTAATATCCCAAATGTCTTTATTTAAGTCCTCAACCTAAAAAACAGTTTTTGTGTATTAAGGATTCTAGGTTGAAAATAATATTCCCTCAGAACTTTGAAGGTAATTCTCCAGTGTCTTCCTAACATTCAGTGTTGCTGTTGATGAGAAGACGAGATAGTTCCCTTGACCCCCTTTATGGGCAGGAACTGGAATGGCTTGTTTCATTCAGCGTGCTGCTGGCCACTCCTTGCAAGAGGGAGCATGCAAGCAAGCGGGTGTGGGAACCGGAGGGAGTGAACACTGGAACTGGCTGGTGGCTCCTCTGTGGCAAGAGTAGGCTCTGTGCAGGCCTTGCAGCAGCATCCAAGCCCCTGCCTTTTTGGCACCCGGGTTCTTGTCTAAGAATCAGGTCACATGAACAGATTGAAGGGTAGTGTATGTGGAGGATTTTATTGGACGATGGATAATGGCTCTTGGATGGGGGGCGGGACGGGAAATTGGAAAAGGAATGACTGGGAAGAAGGTGATCTTTCCCTGAAGCTGCACTGTCTGAAGTTAGCGGCATCTACCTGTAGATCTTTCCCTGAAGCCACACTGTCTGCAGTTAGCCACATCTATCTGTAGTCTCCGACACTCCGTTGCTTCTCTGTTCGCCACTCAGCCACTTGTATCCTGCTACTCAGCTGCCTGTGTTGCTCTGCCAACTAAAGGCTTTTATGGGCACAAGATAGGGGTGTGGCAGGCCAAAAAGGCAACACTTGGGCATTTGAAAACGAGGTCAGCTGCTTTCACTTAGGGCCACGTTCCAGGCTTAAGGGCGAGCTTTAGCCAGGAGCCCAGCCCTTCCGTATCAATGAGATATCATGCCAATTCAGTCTTATTCCTTTGTAGATAATTTATCTTTTTTTTTGTTTTTTTTCCACCCTGGAAGTGTTTATTTTTGGTCTTCTGAAAGTCTCATAGTAGATATATATGTATATGTGTGATGCTTAATTTTATGTATCACCTTGATTGGGCCACATCACTTAGACATGTGGTCAGACACTCTGGATATTTTAGTGAGGGTGTTTTTACATGAGATTAACATTTACATTCGTGAGCTTTAAAGCAGATTGCACTCTATAATGTGAGAGGGCCTCATCCAATCACTTTGAGGCCTAGGTAGAACCAAAGAATGACCTTGATCTCCTGACCTCGGGAATTCTGCAGCAGATGGCCTTTGGGTTTGAACTGCAACATTGGCTTTTCCTGGGCCCCCATCCTGCGGGCCCACCCTGAAAATCTTGAGACCTGTCAGCCTCCGTAATCACCTTAGCCAGTTCCTTAAAATAAATCTCTTTCTGTGTATACACACATCCTGTTGGTTCTGTTTTTCTGGAGAACGCTAATATAACACGTATATGCATACATGTATTTTTTCTTTTCATCTTATCCAACAGTTGGTGGGCCTGTTTCATCTGATCAGTCTCTTTTATTGATGGAAAATCTACTTTGATAGTTTTATTTGATTTTCCCTTCCCTCCATTCTCTGTTCTTGTCTCTTAGAAATCCGATTAGACAGAAGGACAAATACCTAGATGTCTTCTGTTTTCGTTCTTTCTGTCTATCTTAGATGGATGGGCTACCCAGAAACAGACTCTCAGGTGGAGATTTGCATGCAGCCAGTGGAGAGAGAAGCGGGGCAGGGTAGAGGGAGAAGTTGAGCTGAGATCTAATTGCAACAACGACCTCGCCTGACCCTGCTGGGAGCTTTGGGCTTGGGCTGACACTTCAGATTGTCCTAAATCCAAGTGAAGTGTCTTGTGTACTTTTGGGAGGGGATATTACCTGGGCAAAGAAGCTTTCTTTCCTGAGGAGAATACCTAGAGAGGGAGTTAGCTGTGACCTGTCAACAGCCAATATATGGTAGAGTGAGTGCCTTGGTCCCTACAAGGGGATCTGGGTAGCACACCACTGCACCCACTACCCTCTCTTTCATTTTGAGGGAAATTCAGGCTTCTAGCTAGCACGTCATCTCATCAACTGAGTATACTCTACTTTGTGGGTTATTTATTGGGATTTTTATTTGGTAAGTACATTTTTTTTCTAATATTTTTAAAAAAATAGGCTGGGCACGGTGGCCCACACCTGTAATCCCAGCACTTTGGGAGGCCGAGGTGGGCAGATCATGAGGTCAGGAGATTGAGACCAACCTGGCTAACACGATGAAACCCCATCTCTGCTAAAACTACAAAAAATTAGCCGGGCGTGGTGGCACATGCCTGTATTCCCAGCGACTGGGGAGGCTGAGGCAGGAGAATCACTTGAATGCAGAAGGCATAGGTTGCAGTGAGCCAAGATCGCACCACTGCACTCCAGCCTGGGTGACACAGCGAGACTCGGTCTCAAAAAATAATCATCATCATCATCATCATCTTGTTTCATGGATGCAATATCTATTCTCATATCTCTAAGTTTTTATAAATTTTCAAAGTTTTCATTTGTCTGCTGCATAAATTCTAATGTGTTAAGTGATTTCCTTTGTTCATTAAGCTGTATACCTCTCTTTCATGGTGTTTGTCCACTTCAGATGTTTAACTCCTGGCTGCATGTTCATCTTCGTCATTGAGGCTGTGTTGGCCTGAATATGAAGGTGGTTGCATACCACAGTCAGCTTCCAGTGATTTCAGACAAGGGGGCATTGTGCTGCCATGTAAGACATACCAGCAACTTCTCTTAGAGAAGGAGAGTTTCTGTTCCTCCTAAGCATGGCTCTGACCCAACACTCATAACCAATTCTTCCGTTCTGTCTTTGTTCTCCACTCAAAGAGGGGAGTTCGGGCAGCCTACCTACCGCTGTAATGTTGATGGAGACAGTCACCCTGGTGGTTACTCCAGGACTACCTCGAGACCCTGGTGTCCACAGGCCTTGACACTTGGAGTTCTCCTGGAATCACTCCTCGCTTTCCTCTGATAGTCATATCCTTTCTGCTCTTTTTTCAGGATGGGTGGGAGCCTATGTAACCTCACTCAGTATCTTTTCTACCCTCCTTCTACGTATGCCTGCCGAAATTACTGAGGCTGGAAAACTACATTTTTGACATGCCCTTGAAGCTCTGCTGTTAGATGGGATTTAGGGTCCCACCTATCCTTTGCAGCCACATGGGTTTTGGAAGGCAGAGGCGGAACACTGCGGGTAGAGGCTGACTTCTTTTGCCTCCACTATTTCTGCCGACAGAGTTGGTTTTTCTGAAAGAGCTGTGGTGTTGAGACTCCTCAGTGCTGGGTCTCTGGCTTCATGAGTGTTGAGAGGCAGGGCATACTGCTTTGAAAACTCCCAGTTAAACTGGGGTTCTGGTACCAGAGTGGCTAGCAACCCTGCCCTAACCAGAAATGGAGGGAGCCAGATGTGGTGTTTACAGTGTGTGCCTTTCTCAGGATAATTCCTTTACCCGGCAAATAGCCTAATGCCTGGCTGTCTGACCCTTGACCAGGGAATCCCTTACAGAGGACGCTTGTTTGTATTGGCAGATGCCCTGGTGGCTCATGTCTGACCCATGTCCAGTTTACACCTGCCTGGCCATGGCTCTGGCACTGGGAGCCTGACCTTATGTTCTCCCCTGCATTCCAGAAATATCCCAGCCCAGGGCAGCTCCTACTTCTTCAGATGGAAGGCACAAATTCATCTTTTTTTTTTTTTGAGATAGAGCCTCTCTTTGTCACCCAGGCTGGAGTGCAGTGGCATGATCTCGGCTCACTGCAACCTCCACCTCCCAGGTTCAAGTGATTCTCGTGTCTCAGTCTCCCAACTAGCACCCGCCACCAGGCCCGGCTAATTTTTGCATTTTTGGTAGAGATGGGGTTTCACCATGTTGGCCAGGCTGCTTTCGAACTCTTGACCTGAAGTGATCCACTCACCTCCCAAAGTGCTGGGATTGTAGGCGTGAG